ACTAAGATTAGTTTAAGTTAACTTACATGCTCTAAAAAGCTTAGTACGAAATCTGAGACATACTGCAAAAGATTAACAGACTGGACTGTTAGATAATAACTCCCTTTAAGGAAACTTAAGAGGTCTTTGTAGTGACGACTGTGATTCTTCAGACATTTCATACCCTCGTCCCAGTCTTTCTCTGTTTCGAAGCCACGTTTAACGAAAAACTGGCACATTGCCTCTGATATGTCGGAAAATCACAGTCGTCACTAGACAAACGACGAAGTCTGAGAAACTGCGAAAAAGGAATGGAATTCTTCACGTGTAATGGACGCGAAGATAAGTACAACAAGCAACTATGTGAGTCCGTAGCTTTAAAGTAAACCCTACTGGATAGACCGTTGCCTTCAATTGAAAGTTTGATGGCTAAAAAAGCCAAAGAAGTGTCAGAAATTTCCCAGGTATATTTCAGGGCCGGGCGAAAGGAATTAATAGCGTTTATTAAATGGGTCAGCTCATCTCTGGTAGAGGAGGTGGCGCCAATACAGTGGTTTATGTAGCGACTGTAGAGTTCAGGTTTGGGGCCGATGTATTGACTGAAAAATTGGTGTTCGATAAAACTTACGAAACGACTGGCGTAGGTGGGTCCAATTTAGATATCCATGGCTGTTATTCTCTCCCACCGGCGCAGCAACACAGTTTCGTTAGAAACTTATCCTCTTTATTCATTAAAAGTATTTTTCCGCTTCGTGTAGCCTTTGAGTTTGGGTTAGGGTTTGATCAAATTCTTGATAAACATATTTTTTTAAATACGTAGAGTTGAGCGTCTCTGCAGCTAATGCTGTCTTTAGACACGCAACACTCTTTCAAACATTTTTTTTCGGGGAGGGGGAGAGGGATCGCATGCTCTTAAGGTGGAAGGGAGAGGTATCAGTCGCCTTTAACAGTATGGAAGATGGAGTGTTTTTTTTATCCCATTCACCTCCCACCTCCAAACCCCCCACCCCCCTCTTTTCTTCCCTCCTTTGGTTACTTAGGTTTCCTGATAGGGTTAGGTATTCACATTACATTGGTAGAATGTAGAAAACCCTTGTATTGTGTAAAGGTTGTGGTTATTCGTCGTGTTGAATAACAATAAAAGCTAAGTTTTTCGTTTGTCTCACAATGTAGTTACGTGTGATGTAGATCGCGACGTTTCGACTGCATACTGCTAGTCTTTTTCTGGCGATAGGGCGACTGGTCGTGCGTGGTCCTATAAAGCATGATGCTCTGCTGTTATTAGTTGTTTTTCAACAGCTCTGATTAGTGCATTTCGATCCTTGCTCATTCATTCAGTGATTTGCTCCCTCGGCGGTCCGTTGTCGCACGGCTCTCCTGTTGTTGTGTTTTTTGATCGTGGGCATCCACGCTTCTGGAATTTCTATTCCACTTTCCCTGTTGATTTTGTCAGGGTTAAGTCTTACATGAATTGCCTCTTTGACCCTGCGCGTATAGTGATAAGGGTCACGATCAATAAACTTTACTTCGTTCCAGAGTGGCTTGTGTCCTGTGTTGTGGGCATCCTTTGAAACAGAGAATCCTGAAAACTAAGCCATACAGGATTCCTTGTGAATGTGGCATGATGTACATCGGAGAGACTGGAAGACCTATGCAAGACAGAATTAAGGAGCACGATCGAGACATCCGACTCGCCCCTACCGAGACCTTCACCGTTTCAGATTTATCCGAGTATAGCTCAGCAAGTAAGGCGATCACTTTCTTCTGTACATTAGAAACGAACTAGAGCAAATGCTACTCAACGTTATATCGGTAACAAAAGGTAAAAGTCAAAACGTACAATGCAACCTAATTGAACGATACTTACCTTCGAAGTTTCACTTAAGGAGTTCGCACTAACTCCGTTCGCTACCATGCAGCAAAACATTTGTAACTGTGCACAAAACTTTAGGATAGGATGACCTTTTATTGATTTTATCGAATGTTTGTCTCCGTAGGGTCGTAACTGTTAACTCGTACACTTGGAGCGAGGAATTAAGGTCAGGATATTAAAACGAAAGCTATCCTCGACTACAAGCTTTGCTCCGTTCCAGTGAAACAAAACAAGTAAAAGGCAGTGCAAAAAATTATATTTTTCGCTTGTTGATAGGCTGGAAGTCGAACGCACCCGAATGCTTGTCTCGTAAGTATTGTATGTCGTACCCTTTAACTTGTCTTGGATCGGAGATTACTGTATTTTGTGTCCGGCTGAGTAAATTGCTTGGCGTGGAATTTTAATTCAGCTTCGGACGCCACTTAAACGTTGCTTATGTGTTTCAAGTTTTGCTGTTTTGACGACCGGATGTGACATTGACTTCTGGTGGTTTTTATTTGAAGAAAAATTGAGAGTTAAAACAAACTTAGTTAGCTCCGAGAGCATTTTCAAAAAGTGAGATATTTAATAACTCAACAATTCCATTGGCTCTGGTTGGATACGAGATTAGTATACCCAACCCATATCAAGTGCGCGCTCATGGAACAATTGTTAAATATAGTGCACATAATATTGTACGAACGAGATTGGTTCTTCGATTACGGCTTACGTCCATTTTTTAAGCAAGACCACTAAATGAAAAAATTGCAGAGACTTGGAGTCATTAGCCGGTTCTTGGCGTTCAGTTGGTAAAACTGAAGGAAATAAATGAGCTGCGCGGTAGTGGCAGCGAAGCAATACGCGACCCGACCCAAACCCATATACCTAAATATATATATAAGTTTTCAAGAAGTTTGTGAACTCCTCGACATGTGGGTGACCAGTGGCGTTCACGACAAAAGGTAAACCTTAAAAAACTTTAGATTATCAGTGTACAGAAGTTTTTGTGTTCGTTTTTTGTGTTTTGTGTTTAAATCTCGGAAGCTAAGTGACACCCCTAGCGAAGTGCAAGAGAAGAGGATGGAGACCCTCTCTAGGGTTCTCATTGTAATTGCATATTTTGCGAGAGAGTACCAATTGTTCACTGCCGAACACAGCTGTTAAGGTATGATTAACTGGCAGAAATAACTCTCATGATACTCCTACAAACTCAACTACCTTTTCAGACAAAGTGTAATATTCTCACCAAGGAGCGACTCCTAAGGGCAGTACAGTAACTATCCTTTGTAAACTTAATTAATCCCACTACAGACTGCAACCTAGCTCACTAATGACACAATCTTTGCGTCAAAAGATTTACTCATTCTTCCTTTCAACCACCATTCTGCTCTTCCAAAAACTTTGAATCTTAAAATGTAGGTTCTTTTAGTCCTACCCCACCTTGTAAATGACAAAGTTCAACATTTGCAGAAATGTCAGCAAACACCTTTAAAAAAGTGACATAAAAATATCAGAGAATTCATTTTGCAGAGCTAAGACGACCCCCCTCCCCCCCTCATTTGACCCCCTCTCTCCTCTGTATGCTGGAGCATCATTTTGCTCCCAAAAGCAAAATAATGTAATTCTCCTTCATTTGAACGTTAAGACCATTTCTCAAGCAAACTCTGCTCCATACTGAAAGAGCGTTGTTTTTCATTAGGTACTGTTTCTAGTGCAATTATTTATATCAGCTGAGGAAAGGGTTTTGACCAAAAGGTAACTTAGTTTATAATTGTGTAAGGTTGATCGACTCTAAACCTCTGCTGGAAGTGACACGAGAACATGGTCTCTTGGATGTAAGTCTCCTGAAACATATAAAAGAAAGCGATTTTTTGCACTTCCAGGAGCTCTTTTTCGCCTAAGTAACGCTGGTTTGGTTTTGTCATCTTTCGAAAAAGAGATCTAGAGAGATGGGTCACGATATAATAGATCATTGTCAGGGAGTGAAAGATGTAAACTTGTGTTCGGCATCACCAGGCAGACAAGAGTCAACTCCGAACTTTTCAACACTTTTATTATCACAAAAAAAAAAATTAGTTATCACATTAACAACGTATCCAAGAAAAAAAAAGGCTTGAACACGTATCTAAGACCAGTTTCGTTGAGTAATAGTATCTGGTACGCAAAAAACTGTAGGGCTATTAGGCCAAACAACAAACTTTCTTACAGAATTAATGTGTTACGTATACCGTTAGTTTTACTTATAAGTTCAATGTAAAAGTATTTCGAACTGGTATCGCTGGTAAAGGCGGTCTTAGGGAAAGAAATTTATGCGCACGATTAGCTTTCCTGCAAACAAGTGGGTTTTACGGCAAAATGTTTTTAGAAGAGCGAGAGCTCATCAATCTGGTAAATTGCATTTTTTTCTCGGCACTGTACTGCCTTTTAGAATAAGCCAGAAAATAAACTCAACTCAAACGCTTGTGTCGAGCATACGTGTAAGTGCTTAATATGTTAAAAAGAAAATGAGAGAATAATTTATCGGCAGAACTTAAAAAAGCGTTTCAGCGTTTAAGAATGTAAAGTCAATTGAAATACAACGTTCCAGTCTTACTGCTTAACAAACATGGCTATTTCTACCTAGTAAGCGTGTAAGGAAAAGATGATTAATCCATGAAACTTGTTTGGGCGAAGTGTTCAAAATGTTAGCCAGTCGTACATTGTGGACGTGTATCTAACTACACCATTAAATCCTCGACGTTTGCATACAATTGCTTGTCGTACATTGTCATGTTGATCAGCTTCTGCAAGAAAAATAATATAGTTATCAGTATCAGTAAAAAAGTGTTCCTCTTGAAAAGAGGTTATTCTCAAAAGTCGTCAGCTTTTTTTCCGTCAAAACAAATTCAAGGAGAAAGTGTTTTATAGCTTCGTCGTCTGCTAATCTTTGTGCGTCTCAATGAAGTTTTGCAATCATCCTATGATCTTTTAAATAACCACTAAGTGTCAATTGTCATTGAGACGTTCTAGTTCGCTTCTTTGCTTCAGTGACATAACAAGAAGATGCGATCCAAACTTCGTTAAAATTACAGGGATGGGTATAAATTACTACGCTATCTAGGCTCAATACTGTTAAGCTTAATCCTAATTAGCTGAGCCTAAGCCAGTCGGTCCTTCGTGAAAAAAAAACTTTCATGTTGATCAAAATTCTCACCTTGTGTAGGGTTTCCATTTCCTTGAGCTGATTTTTCAATTCAGTGAAAGTTGGTCTTGTATCTGGGTCATTCTTCCAGCATTTCATCATGATCTGATACCTGGTAATGTTCAAATGATCTGTTAAAGATTTAAAGAATGTTTCCTCATACGATGAGGGAGAACGAGTGAACAAAGAAAACTTACAATTTTTCATCGACGTGTTGTGGTTTAGGCATCCTGTATCCATCCTGAAGTAAGTTTGCAATTTTTCTTCCATCCATTCGTGGGTATGGTGAGCCGCCTGGAAGAACCATAAGACCACCGAAATATAAATGTAACGAAAAACAGACCGTCACTGAAACACGACCAGTGTCACTTGATGGAGTTTGAGGTTGCATGGGGAAGCTCTTTACGTTTGTCTAACTGAACGCGATACCTTGTAAATACGCAGCAAAAAAAGAAAAAAAAAGGAAACCAAACATATCGTCATAAACTTCTATTCGATAATACCTATGGTGAAAATCTCGTACAGCAAGACTCCATAACTCCATCTGTGGAATTACAAATCAAATAAATATAAATTAGGTGACTGAAGACATTAACATTATATGCGACAACTAAAATATGTGTATCCTTTGACAAAGCACAGAATTCATGTCCTGATTAAAACTGATAAAACTTGTTGGAAAATTGCTAGGGGTAATAATCGGGTATACTTACACGTCACTTTTGGTGGTATATTTACCATACAACAAGGCCTCATAAGCTGTCCACTTCACGGGAAGACGGCCCTAAAGATTTTAAATATCACTTTGTGAAACAGCTCAAAAATCATAGGAAGCGACTAGTCAAAGACAGTGATATGTAAAGTTGTACACGTATACGCATTGCTAATTTTTTCATTCGGTTCCCTTCCAAGGAATTCATGATCAAAATCAGGAATATATCAGCTTTACCACAACAATGATCCTGAAAGATCACTAAACTGAACGACATGTAGTACCATCCCCACCTCCCTCCCCTCTTTCTTAATTACCTTAGTCTTTCGTTCATAAATATTTTCCTGCTGCACATCTCTGGCCATTCCGAAGTCGGTCACTTTACAAGTTTCCTTTTGTCCAACCAACACATTACGGGCCGCAAGGTCTCGGTGAATGATCTAAGAAAGAATTGGTGCAACAGCAAAAATTAGCGATTGCAGAAGAAAAATAACTGATATGAAATGGTTCAGGTAGGAAAATAGAAACGTCTAGCAACATAATATGGTGTGCGTATTTCTCTTTCTTCCAGAGGGCAGAGAATTAAATTCACTATAATTACTGCCTCATATTCCAAAGAGAGGCAAACTACTTTATTTGTGCAATACGTAGTTATTTCATAGAACGCCTATCTTAAGTTTTTAATCTAAATAGGATTCTATAATGTGGCAGTTTAGTGACCAAAGACGAATTTTTTGAATTTCAAGTTTTAATTCCTTCTCTTTCTTGTCACTAAAATGGATATTTGTTGAACACTTAGTTTGGGCTGAATATCTTAAAAGATCCTATCCATTCACATCTCTGCCTCTGCATACACGAGAAAAACACAGGTACTTTATTTCAATGGGGCGCATTTGCAACGATGCACAAATATCGCCATTCGCACATTGAAATAAAACTTAGACGATGACTTCAAAATTGTGAGAGTTCCTGGCTCTAAAAAAAAATAGCGTCAACAACACGGTAAGAGTACGTTTGCATCTCCCGGGCGTGATCTTGTGAGACATAACATTCTATGCAAGACAAAGCTTAATATGACGATACAACTTACAAGAAGGCTTTAGAATTGTTTGTCATTTGTGTTTTTTTTCTCAATTAACTTACAGATTTTGAGGACAAGTAACTCATTCCATCTGCAATTTGCCAAGCAAACTTCATCAGCTGCTGTGACGTCAGATTTGTTTGTGGTTTGATATCCGGGTCTTTGTAGTAAGTGTCATTTAATCCACGGCTCTTCCTCAGGTAACCCAGCAGATCCCCAAAAGGCACATATTCAGTCAAAACCAAAAGCTGTTCTGGAAAAAAAATCAGCGCTTTAAATGATATATTACCCTCTAAAAAAAAATTAGCAATAAATACAATAAATGAATAGCCCAGTCGTGGTCAATACTTTTGAAGAAATCGCACGAAAATAAGATGTAGTTTAACGAAAAGAAGGAGAAAAAAGAGGGTAAAGACCAAATATTCTCTTCCAAAACGCGTTTCCGCTTACAGAACAGAATGGTCTGTTCAGAGGCAAATATTTGGTCTTAGTCCATCAGTAAATCCAGGAGCGTCTATGTCGGTTAAAAAAAGATAAAATTACCTCATGCGATGGTTTTTTTTGTGCTTCATTGTGAAGCAGTGACTCTTCCATTGAGCAAATTATTAATGACGAGAAAACGTCACAGAGTAAATCATAAGCAAAATGTGCACAAAAAAAATTAGACCCGCATAACCAAAGCATACCAGATCTTGTAACACATCCCAGAAGTTTAATGACGTAAGGATGTGGTTTCAGCTGCTTCATTGTGTCAAGTTCTTTCATCAAATCTCTTTGTCTGATTCAACAGCGTTTGCTAGAGCGTAATAAACAAGGAGTAAAATTTGGTTAGAGGGAAGGTAATGCGAAATGCCGAAACAATAACATACGTTATAATCATGAAATGGTAAATAGCTAAAAATACGGTAACTCGGTAAAATTTCCTGAATTACTGAAGGCCAAGACTGTCATTCAATTTACGGTACAAAAGCTCACTTTTCAGCATTTTAATAGCCACTGTGGTCGTTTCAGGACTCCCTCTAAGTCCTACCGCTGTTCCCTTGGCAACCTGACCAAAAGCACCTTTACCAATGATTTTTTCTATGGTCACGTGATGTCTTGGAACTTCCCAGCAGCGTGTTAACGGATGAAGAGGCATATAATCAGCACCTGGAGCTGTTCTTTGTGCTTTTCTATTATCTTTGTTGACTTCTATGAGATCCATGTATTCCGCAGGAGGCTGAGTGAGTTTTCTTGAATCGGGTAGACTTGGTTCGATATCTTCTAATCCTGTTTCATTCTATTAAACCAACATGCCGTTAAGGTATTCACATACAAATCTGTAATTAATCCCAGAAAAAAGTTTCACATAGTTATAAAACTCAGTTTACCCAATTTAATCATAGAAACCTTCATATTCTTGCACAGCAAAATATTACAAATAGTTTATAATCTCTATTATCCTTATTATTACTAACAATTTGTCCTCTGCTTTTGAAACCATCATATCCAATGAAGTGATTGAGGTTCATAGCATATTTGCCGAAGCTAGAAACTGCAACATGAAGATTGTCGATTGGTAGTGAAACTTTTTCACAAATACACGCACAAAAAAAAACTCCTGTTGTACTCAGCTCTTAGAATTACGTTTGGTAAAAAAAAGGTATCCAGAAAATAAGACGACCAAAAATTCGAAAAAACAATTATTTAAAAAGCAAATATCAACCGGGTGCAGACCAGTTATCGATCTATGAAGTGAAGCCACGCACTTGAACCAGGGAAAACCCAAGGAAAATCCTTGGAGTACCTTGTTAAAGGACATGAACACAGGACAAAGACCTTATCGAATCTAACTTCCTCCCCTATTTCATTGTATCCTCCACTGACGCAATATGCTTTTTTTTCGTAGACCTACACGTTTTTTCCTTCTTATTGTTGCAAGCGTTTATTATCTTGTAGAAAGTAGAGGTAATATGAAATCACATAATTTCTGGCCACACTAACATGACCTCAATGTCTTAGCTGTTACTTACGTCGTAAACACCTCTTTCATCTTCATAAGTCCTACAATTGATAAAGAATACGAATATTTAAAAAAAGCTGAGAATTTCATCAGCTTTAAGTGGAATTTTGTGTCAAGATGAAACCATATCTGGCACATTACATCGACACAATCCAAGTGGCAGCAAATTCGTACCTCTGTTTCCCTACAGCGACTGAAAAAGAACGAAAGGAAAAAAAGACAAATGATGTGGACGTGGGTCAAAGTTTGCTTTTGTATAAAAATGAATCTTTCAGCCAAACCCTCTAACACAGATTATGATTTTTTTTACTTACCTTTCCTGTGTAGCCAGATTATGTAAACAATTAGAAGAAGGATTGTGAAGGCAAGAACCCCAATTGTGGCTAACAAGACGTTGTTAGATGGGCAGTTACATTCCTCAAGACCTAAAATGATTAATTTTACAAAGCTTGATCAAGTAACGTTCAAACAACATTTGCACTGATCCTGGTCGATAAACTGCTCTCACTACATAGCTTAGGCTAATGACCAAAAGTCTAACTCTCATTGGCGAGGTACTAAAGAAAAGTAAGGTGCTAATCTTTCTATAATAATTTCTAAAAGTAATATTTTGTTCAATTGACTAGAAACAACAACGACAAAAACAAAACCGTAGAAATACATCACTCACAGAAATGAGTTGTTTAATTGCACAGATACAGAATACAATTAGAAAAAGGCCGTTTTCGGAAGAATACGTGTAAAAGTTTAACACTTTGACATGTTTTGATGCTACTCTGGTTAAAAGATTTAATGAACAGGCCATTTTACAGTTGTGTACTTGGTTGCCAAGCCTTTGATTTGGAGTGAGGCTGAAGTTGACCATGTAATGATAGAGACCAGTATCTAGTTAGCATGATAACAAAGTCATTTACACTTGAAAAGCTGCAAGGTTTGTATCATAAGAAGGTCACCTTCAGCCTCAATCCTGTTCAAAGGCTTGGCAACCAAGCATGCAACTGTAAAGTGGACTGAAAGTAACCGAGAAGTTACAGTTCATAGACCCAACGTTGTCAACACTCCTGTCTCACCGCCTTCATCATGGGTGATCTACTCGTTGCACAAAGAGGTCCTTTTACATGCTCACTAATTGGCTGCCCTTTTTTCTGGCGAGGTGTAAATATGTGTCAGGCAGTAAGCCGCCACCATCACAAGGAGCGTGGGAAGAGTTGATATGCCAGGCTTCCAAACAAGAACGCTGGTGGTAACATCGATAAGTGGTGATAATTTTGAAATTATCCCACCCAGTTGTATGGTTAGTAAGGCATGTGTGCTCCGACAAAGCTGAATTTTCTTTCTCACAAAAGGAGACCAGTTTTTGATCCTCTTTCAAACGTATACCAAAGTGACGTTTGGTCAGTCCCATATACTCATGATCACAGCCATTGCACGGAATAGAATAAAAAGCGTCTGTTAGTTGTTCATTTGTGATTGGATCCTTAGGTTTGGCAAAAATATGCCCTTAGGTCTGAAAAGGTTTTTGATAACCATAAACGTTTGGGCCATTCAAAATTCTCTTGATGGGTTCCGTAACACCCTGAATGTGAGGAATAACAGCAAAGTAAGTCGCTGGTTCCTTCTCATCAGGAGTATTACTGGTTGTAACTTCATTCATTAAATCTTTAAAAACCAGAGTAGCACTAAACCGTGTCTGATTATGCGCCTGGTTGCTTTGTGAACTTTAATATATTTAACAATTTCTTTGTTATTCTTACCTTTTGTCGTACTTTCCAAGCCGTCTGTGGGGATAAAAAAACTCTATTTTAGAGCTCAGTGAAAGTAACTGACAGTGGTTAAAAACAATAGAGTTCCTCTCTGATGGAAAAAGTAGTGTTGATACAGTGATCAACGTAGCGACCCCAGAATCCAGCCCCCCTATTTACGCCAGATGGATGGCTTTGTCTCTTTGTAATGCGTTTGCATGTCAAGGGTCGCTTCCCTGTCATTATAAATAATTCCCGTATAGGACTGTAATTTCTGAATTTGATATCATTCATATAGCCATCGGCTGTGAGTGTAACTGCTGCCGTTTAATTATTATCACTTAATTAACTTGTTAACTGAAATGTAGTAATAAAACACCCTGAAAAACAACTTCTCGTACATCAGCTAATAGGCCTCTGGTTGGCGCACAAATATCAACCACGACTTAAGTGAACTTTTTACATTGATTCAGGTTTATGTAAGCGAAGAATTCACCCGTAAAAACCTCGATATTGATGAGACAGAGAGGGCATGAAAACTAGGAAAAGAAAAGGATAAACCTTTGAAAGGGGAAAACAAGATTCATTTAAACATACTTCCTTCTGCCTTGACTTGCTGAATATTTGCTTTCTCTTGTTTCAGGCTTTCACCAAGCTCATTAGTTGCAGTAATGGCAAACTGATACACCTTTCCTCTCTCCAACACTATTTTCAATTCTCTCACAGAAACATCTCTGATTTTCTTTATTTCTGTCCACTGTCCCACTTTCCCATCAATCACTACTCTTTGGTACACTGTATACATGGTAATAACTTTTCCATTACTTTCTGGCTCCTTCCACTTTAGGGTAATTGTATCGTCTGTTGTTTCACCTGGTAGTTCGTCTATTTCGACCACATCTGGGACTCCTAGATTGATTTCAACAACACGAACAGCGTGGAATTTCTAATAATTATACAACTCCTTGTTACAAACCTGGTCACAACCATTATCAGTGATTAAATAATCTGTAAATTGTTCGAGGATTACTTTGGGATATTTTTAAAACAAAAGCGTATATCAAGCGAAATTATGTTAAGTACTGAGATGAATTCAAAATAGCTTGAAAGGACAATTCGCCATTCATTTGTGGCACGTAATTACAGGAAGGAACTCAATTTACGTACACCTATTTTCTGCTTTTGAAAGTTTGACATTGCGCATGACTTAGTAGAGGCACTCGGCAATGACACAGCGTAAAACTGAGTGCACATGCTCCGCTTCCCGAGCCATCTGATTGTCTAGGGTTACGGCTCTTTTTTCTCCAAACATAAGCTGACACGGGATTTTCCGTTGAGACAACAAGCTTTTTTCTCCAGGGAGTTTGCCAACTGAAGAGGCGATGACAAGAAGAGCTAAAGCGATAACAGGTGCGAGGAACTTCGCAGCCATGTTACGACTGCTCAGCCGTAACATGGCATGATAAAAGGCAAACAATACTTGATAAAACAGGTAGCATTTACAGAATGTACCCGCGTAGGTTGTCTACTGTTCTCACTCATGTTTACCTATGGTTTGTTTATTATTATGCTTATTAAAACGTAAGTAAACTCGCTAAGGAGGAGACAGACACTTAAAATAAAAAATCTTATCATGCGGCAAGCAGAGAAAATTGTTAAACTGGGACAAATCTAAGTTTGCAGCAAAATGATTGGTGTAAAGTGCTCAGTAACGAAATCACTTGTGATTCCTCACCTTCAAACTTGGTCTTAATTGTCCTTACAATAGGGTCTCCCTCGAATACAAAATTTCTGGAAAACAGTTTCACCGTGTAGTTGGTATTTTTCTCCAAACCACGAAACGAGTAACTTGTCGTCCCTGGATCGGTGATATCATCCTTTTCTATCTCAGTTTCACCCTTTTGTAAGATCATTCGGTATCCTGTAATCGGACTTCCTCCATCATCAGCTGGTGCAGTCCATCTTATTGTTATAAAAGTTGCTTGAATTACTGATTCTGATGATTTGATGGATGCTTTCCCTGGTTTCTCTACATAGTGCCATAAAAAAATGATTTTGCAAAAAAAAAAGGAAGGAGAAATTTTTTGGGTGATTATCATACAGTATGTCATTGCATTATCACAATTTAATGTACATGTAGCTACCAGATAATAAAAAGAGGAACAATTAAGAGTCCATGGTGGAGGAAGTTTCCTGTGGATACACGCACGAGAGGATGTCAAAAAGGTGCCTCTCAGTATGCCTCATTGGGGTAACGAACGCGAAAAATATGTGAAGGTCTAACGCTGCTACAGAGGGGAAAAATGCGAACGGGACGCTCAACGACCAAATTGTTAGAAAATGAAAAAATAGTAGAATGATAAATCTCTTATTCGATGGTTAAACATAAGCTTAAATTTTTCAACACATTTATGGACCTTGCACATTATCCGCACGTATTATGCTTTAAATAATCGAATGACTTGTACAAAGGGAATGAGTTATCCTGTCGAGTACTTTGTAAGAAAATTTGGCTTTTACTTCAATCTATTACACCTGAAACAGTGATAGTGAGCAAGATGCAGACCCTATATATAGTTTTCTTCTTATCAAAATACACTGATCTTTTTTACTTACTTATCTGATTTATCTTTATTAATTTCTCATCAGATGGAATAAGTCCATTAGCAGCAATGCACTTGTAATGACCAAAATCTTGATCACCCCTGAATAGCACTTGTACTTTGTTTTCTCTGGCTGTGACTCTGTTTATTTCACTTCCTTCAGGTTTGTACCAAGAGAGTGTTGGTGTAGGAACACCATCAGAAAGACATTTCAAGGTCACTGTCTGGCCAATCCAAGACTTCTTAGATGACGTAGTGACATTTTGAATTGTGGGCGGGTCTAAGAATAAATACTAATGTAATAAGCAACTGAACAAATAATTGGTGATACTTCATATCAATCAGAATATTTATGAGCTTTATCATGCCTCCACTGTTTCATTTTACTAAATGAAATTATGAGGAGAGGAAAAATATGCCATCGTATTACACTTTAGAACAAGACAAAAATACGCAGCAACATTGGTCCCACTGAACGATCCAAACAAGCTGGGCATTATTTTTAAGCAAAGATGTGGGTCACGACTTCAAGCCGATAAATAACTTATAATCCTCTCTTTTCCCTCTCTCTCCTAAATTGCTTTGAATGCCAGCAGAATATTGGTTTAGAAATGAATTTCTGGTAGAAAAATTGTGTCATTAAATGGGTTGACTCGCGGCCTAAAAACCGTTTGTAATTAATTTCAAGCCTTCACAAAAAGTAACTCAGAAAGTTAAAACGTAAGGTATTTGTTTAAAATTGAATTAATTAATTTCATTGATTCAATAGCAGAGCGCAGCGTAGCCCATACCTATAAAAAAACAGTAGTAATAACAGTAACTCATCAGGCCGGAAAATTTTAATTGTATGACCAAAATAGGGCAGGGTATGAATAGCAATTACGTAGGTAGAGGGGAAACAGAGTAAGTAATGCGCACGTGCGATCGAGTGCGTACCTCGGAAATCCCATTTATTTGGATTCGTGTGCACTACAAAACTCAAGTAAAAAGTAGGGTTATTTAGTATTTTCAAGTGAGTTGATGACGTAAGTTAGCCACTGTAAAGAGTTACAAAGCTGGCTTTTCAATACGTCAGCTTTTTAGCTCTTTACGGTGGCCAATTTATGTTATCTTGTGCGTGAACACCCTTTGGTTGGAAGGTGGTTGAAAGTCCAAATCAGGAGGCTTAGGAGGGGCTGCAAAAACTTGGAGACTGGGTTTTCAATGTCCACCTTCAAGCCAGCCTGGCTGAAGAAAATGCAGGGGGCTTAACTACAAGTATAGCGCTCGCATGCAGCCCAGCCACCACCCTCTTCTAGGATGGGATGCAAATCTCTCTTTGTGGGAAATTTTAATTTTGATAAGGTTTTTTCTTGGATATTGACTTGGTGTGATTTGGTGAATTTATACATGTAGATAAATACACCTGTTTGCAGTTTGAAAATATAAACAATTTTCTTTTCCTATCAAAAAGGAGATGCATGATACATGTATATTTCACATCGAGAAAACACAACTTTTTTATAGTGCGAAGATGAAACAAAGACTTGACATCAGCTATTGTGCTGTTCCTTTTTCCTTATAATTTATTCTGTTGTCACCTTTTTCTTGAAATAAAAGTGTATTTATTTCTTGGAATTTTTCAATTGCAACGTTTTGAAAATGAGTGTATTTATGTACAATCAAACCTGTATTGAGCGGTCACCCACACGACATCGCATTCCACAGAATAGGGTTAATATTAAAAATGATAAAAGGCCATGTTATGCCATAATCGATCATTTTATGTAAAAAAAAAAACTCGTTAAAATATTACTAACATTAATTTCGGGAGAGAAACATAGATTAAATTTTACTACAAAAATCATAGTTTTAATTGAATGGTTCCTTTCTATGAGACTGTTCATTACAGGTGGAAGACAATACAAACAGGTTGTTGTCACTCACTCAAAGGTGACCACAGCGATTAAGGAGAAAAGAAGTTGGAGACTTTAACAACTGGCCACTAAATACAGGGTGACCGCTTATAGGTTCGACTGTATTATGGATTCAGCAGCAGTGGCAGCTTTTTATGACAGACTGAAATAAAGACTTACATTGCACAGTGACATAAACTCTTACTGTCTTTTCCTGTCTCACTCCATTGCTTGCGATGCAAACATATTCTCCTGCATCATTCCTGTTACTACTGGAGATGTTCAACTGTTTGGTGTTAGACAGTTTAATCTCAGATTTTTCCCATCTTATCTTAGGTTCAGGAAAACCCGAGGCATCACAACTCAAAGACAGAGGAGTTGACGCATTAACTGTTATATTCTGTAGCACTTCTGTAAACTGGACAGGAACTAGATAAGAAGAGAGGAACAACAAAATTCTCACACCATAATGTTAGCGTGCAATTTGGTTCAAAACCATCCACTTCAAACGCTATAGAAATAAGATTATAAAATGTAGCACATACATAAAAAATATCAAAAAATGGAAACAAACTTTCACTATGTCAGCTAATCAGAATTTGCATCTGTTTTAAAATAATCTAATGAAAAGCAGAAGTTCACAGTTTTTGGAAGACACAAGATAATTGCTCTTGAATAATGTCTTGGTTTTTTTTTAACCAAAAAAATTAAATCAAACCTGGGATTAATCTCAAACTTGTACCTAAATTCCAGGATTTTTGCTACACGTTAAATGTACAACCTTGTAAATGCTCCCATAAAGTTACACAAACTTACAGACTTCTTGTGTCTAAAAACAGTCTAGGGTAACCATGGGATGCCATTTCCACAAAATAATTTTTTTGTTTCTATCATGCACAAGTCAATCATTATTAGATTTGTTTCCGTATTATAAGGCACAAGTTCATCATAATTAGGCATTGTTTTTTATCATTAGGCACCTGTTCATCATTGTTAGGCACCAGTTCATCAATATTAGGCACCCGTCTAACATTATTAGGTACAAGTCCATCATTATAAGGCACCAATTTATTATCATCAGGCACAACTTTTGCTATTAGGCACCCATTTATCATTAGGCACTGGTAAAATTTTTCAAGAAAGGCATCCTTCACCAGTATTTTTCCCAGGTACCTAGGGTGGGAGCATTGTGCGGAAAGCTGAGAAACGCTTGTGAAGGAGACACTTCTTTAGCTGGAGAGCAATACAAAGATGTTTGTAAAGCCACACAAAATGTGCCTCGTCCCAGACTTTTTTCTCCTTCCCCTCACCCACCTTAAATTCCTTGCTCATTCCCATTACTCCCAGGAAAAGCCTATAGCGGGGCAACCTGAATACCAGGGTCTATATTCTTCCCTGTTCGGGGTTGTAATAATTTGCTGTGTGGAAATTGTTATTGATGCAAGTAAACTGGTAAAAAACGTTTTTCCCATTTCGGATTATAATTCCAAAGTACTCAAAAACGCTCAAATATGTTTCTACCCACCATTTATGTTAAGTCTCACAGTAGCTTCTACCCGTCTCCAGCGTCATTATGTGGGACACATTTGTACTTGCCATAGTGCTGAGATCGATTGACGTCATTGAGAGTATACTCACTGTTGCTGTTTCCACTTAGGAGGCGGCCATTGAAATAGAACTTGTAAATTGACACTTGAGGCACAGCAGCCATAACTATGCACTTAAATGTAACAGTGTCTCCTTCAGTGACAGTATTTTGTGGAGCATTAGTAGTGAGCCTTGCACCTTCGGGTTTGTCTAAAAATGTAAATCAAATCAAAATCTTAATCTCTGTTTATTATATGGCTTATACATTCCCCCTGGTTATAAATCATACCCTCCTGTAAAAGTATAGAGGGTGCATGATAATGCAACACGAATGGGTTAATCGTGTGTGGGTTAATTTAGTATCAATCCATGGAGTCTCTTGGTCAGAGAATATAAGGCTTTTGTAGTGAAAAATTGCAGCAATTCATCCACCCATGGTTAGAATGCTGACTAAAAGCAAAATACTTCAACTCACACATTGCATGCTGAAAAACAATGGCACTACTGCAGCAAGAAAAATGACACCAAGTATGTCGTTACAAGGAGACGGCCGACTTTACTTGTAATCGAACGTAAAACATTGTCGCTTGAACAGAATTTCAAGTGAAAATCCTTAATTTTGAGCCGAAAGACAAGTGCCCTAGACAAGTGCATGTGAGAGTATCTCATCCCGCAAAAAGGCGAAAGCCTAATTTGAATCTATAACATTCCTTATTTCGCACAATTGGTACCAGGACAGAAATTAATTAAAATTATTATTAAATTAAAAGTGAAAAACAAGGGAGATTTCGGTCAGGTTGCGTTCATACTATTGTGCTTCGTTTTACTTCCCGAGAGTCTGAAACAGGCTGAATAAGTTATAATTGTGTTAAGAAGTATTTCAACTTCGCATGGGCGATAGAATGTAAACTACTTGTTTGAACAAATAAATTTTTTTTATATCAAGTGCAAGCAACTAAATATTTGATA